ATTACTATTCAAACTTAGAATCAATTCAGATAAGACGTCTAAATAAAGGTATCCCTCTCTACCTAAATCTTTGCTATTTACTCTCTAAAACTCGGGCACAGAACAATTCAAATACCATAATTTACCTCCTTATCTCAATTTGTTACACGAACCCTCACTACATAAAGACAGAAATTTAGAAGATTTGGAAAGCAAAGTTTATCTGTGTAGATAACAACTCCATCAAGTAACTAACAATTATAATAATTCATAGAAATGGATGTCTAAAGAAGCCTTTACTGGTTATCTTAGTTCATTCCTATCATTCCATTACTATTATCCATTATTCCATTCAAAAGGTGTATTGCAGTTTATTTTCTACCTGTACTACTCTCAAATTGAGGACATGATGAGAAAAAATGTTTGCAAATCATATACTGATGTGGGTCTAGTATACAGAACATACTCTTACAACTCAATAATAAAAAAACAAGTAACAAGAAACAAATAACAATTAAAAATGGGCTAGGAATCTGAATAGACATTTCTCCAAAGGTGTACAAATGGCCAACAAGCACTTGAAGAGATGCTCAACATCATTGGTCATTACAGAAATGGAAATCAAAACTATAGTGAGATACCACTTCATACCAAGCCACTAGTATAGCTATAATCAAAAAGACAGATAATAATGAGTAGTCAAGGGTGTGGAGTAACTGGAATCCTCTTACATTATTGGTAGGAATGTAAAATACTGCAGCTGCTTTAGGAAACAGTTTGGCAGTTCCTCAAAAATTTAACACACAGTTACCATGTATGACCAAGCAATTCCACCCCTCCTTTACATACCCAAGTGTGTGAAAACAAATGCTGCTAATGTCCTTAACAGCATTATTAATAGGCAAAAAATGGGAAAAAATCCAAATGTCTGTCAATTAATAAACAAAATGTAGTATGTCCATACAAAGCAATTTTAGCCATAAAACGCAATAAAGTGCTAATATGCCACAACATGAATGAATCTTGAAAATATGCTAAGAAAAGTAAGATACAAAAAGGCCACATGTTGTATGATTATTTATATGAAATGTCCAGAATAGGCAAACCCATGAAAACAGAAAATAGATTTAGGGGCTGCCAAGGCGTGGGTCACAGGAGGAATGAGAAATAACTGCTAATGTGTATGGGGTGTCTTTTTTGGGTAATGAAAGTTTTCTGGATTTAGATGGAGATGTTTGTACTATCTTGTGAATAAAGTAGAACCACTGAACTACATCCTTTAAAAGTATGAATTTTATGGTATGTAAATTATATCTCAATTTAAAAAAAAAAGAAAAAATTCAGAGTATGGACCCCGGTACTTAGGATACTTCCTGTATACAAGAAACAGTCAATAAAATGAGCTAATTGCTTACACTAGAATTTATCCCAAAAACAATGTCCAAGTGTAAGGAACACGGCAAGTATTTTTTTTACATATTTGTAAATAGAGTAAAAGGTAATTTGGAAGGTAGTGATGTTAAGTTTATAACTTGAAACTACAAAAAAAAAACCACCTTTGTTTACTCACAACTGCCTAATATCCAGATTTCATACAGCAGATGGGAAGACATAAAGGAAGTAAGAATCAAGAGAGAAGTTCAAAGACACATCAAAACAAATCAAGCTCCTCTGTTGAACTTAACAGCCAGTTTGCAAACAAGGAAAGAAAACCAATCATTATTTTATGAATACCTTTGTTTGCCAAAGAAAATACTTTTTGACTGTTTCCAAATACCAAATCCAGCCTCTAAGGATGAAAATTTGCTAATACGAAGAGTATCCAAAGAATATGCCACTGATTTTAGGCAATTCCAACAATAGGTTTTGTGCAATGAAATAGGGTACAGCCTCCAAATGACCTTACTTAGAAGAGACACTGTTGTGGATGACAATACTGTTCCTGTCAAAGTGATTTAAAGAACAATCTGTGTCATTATTGTAGAGTTCCACACTAGAATCTTCAAATATAGTAAAGACTCCTTCCTGAACTACAGAAAGAAATGTATTGCAAACCCCAAGTTGCCTAACAAAGAGTCCCCACTATTTAAATTGCATTAGAAAATCCTACAACCTACTTCTGTAAACCTTTGTCACCTATCAGTCCACTAGACAAATCACAGACTGCAATTTAAACAGACAACTCACTCTTGTCCTTTTTCACTTAAGCTCATTTGTTTCTCCTGACAGGAATGCCTGTTCTTATTCATCAAAATCAGGCAAAAATCCACTACCTTCTTCATAAAGCCTTCCTTCATCATCTCAAGAGATTTCTTTCACTTTCAAACACCCCTAAGCACACTTGCCTGACCATCATATGGCACATTTTGCCTTATATGATAACTAGTACACTTTGTTTTTTCTGGGTATTAAAACTTCTGAAGGTTAGGACAGTTTCTCCACTATCTTTGCCCACAGCATCCAGTACAAGACAGATGCTCAATGTAAGTATTTAAATGAAGTAAGTACTTACCTGCCTTTCCTTCCAAAAAACAGCACTAATACAAGTAGCTAAATGGTTAAGCAGGTACTCAGAAATCCCCATAGACATTAAATACCTAATTCGTACTCTGGAAGAAATTCTGGGCCATCCTGTGTATTCTCCTAAGGCTAAAAAAGTTGGCATTATTCAGATATTTCCTAGAATTGTTCCAGCTACAAGCACATTTAAGAGAATTAGGGCAATTTTAAGTAACTCTTTGTAAGTCAAAAAGACTCATCCTGCTAACCTTTTTCAGCCAAGATACAACTGAAGCTGATCCAGCTTAACTGAAATCAAACTTTCCCTACACTGAGCAGAGCTTTTTGAGAATACAGCAAGGATGAGGAGCAGCCAAGCGATACATTACATCACAACAGGCAATAGAGAGAATATCTTTCTTCCTGGAATCTAAACTGATCATCCTAGCCCCATAGGATGTCTCAATAATCATCTGGTTACCAAATTTCTATCTCAACCAGCTACTAACTCCAATTCAATTAAAAATGATGTAAACACCAACACCCCTACCTTCACAATCCTGACTGCCTCCTCCCCAAACAAAAATGAAGATGGGAGAATTAGATTTTGGAAATGAGTGAGAATACATTTTTAATCCAGAAACTGCTATAAATTAAGTATCATTTAGAAACCAAATGAGTACTTTATAGTGTTAAGATAATCAGTCAACAGAATCAAATAGAAGGTTAACTGTTCAGAATCAATCCCATTAAAATAAAAGAGGAATTATTACATCTGCTAGTCACAACACAGGTGCCTTTTGGATTGTATGTAAGGATCACTGCCAGCCCTTTTAAGTACAGAAAGTTGGCACTACAACTGATTTAGAACTCTCCTCTGAGAAAGAACAAACTTACATATAATAAAAGAGAAAATATAAGACCCAACTGATTCTAATTGGGAGACTATCAACTATATATTGCTGCTCAGATTAAAATACTGCTCTGCACTCTGGACTCTAAACTCCTGAACTTTACTACTCTGAAAGTGGAAATTTGGAGTTAAAAGTATGCTTTAAGAAAAACTGATTAGCAGATTAAAGTCCTCCTTCAAAAAATAAATGTAAAATTTGATATTCAATCCAAGTATTTACAAAAAATAAATAAATATAACTTTGTCCAGCAGCAGTAACTAACCACTAACACTAGCAATGATAAAAAGAGGGCCCGAGGCAGAAGGCAAGGATTCAAAGCAAACAGAATTAGAATTAAGACAACTCATTAAAACCATCTAAAATAGAACTAAAGAAATCTACAGGGTTATAGACAATTTCAAAATCTTAAAAACGAAAAACCCTACTAAGAAAAAACAATCATTAAAAAGGTGAAACAAATACAAGAATAAAAATTCTTCAAAATAATTTTAGGATTTTGTATTTACAATTCTGAAATCTCATTAATTTCATATGTTCTTCTCAAAACCTCCATATGCCTTTTTTAAATTCGCTTATGTGATGGTTACAAATAGGAAATTCTAATAGTGCTTAAGCTGATGTAATATTTTAGCAAATGTTTGGTAGGTTTAAAAGAAAAAAACAGACACAGAGCAGGGTAAATAACAACTAATAACCAAAAGGCTGATTCCAGAGGGGCAGAGCTGGGCTTGGATTGGCAGGAGGGAAATTTAAAAATATTATCTACAAATTACACCAAAAAAACTGATTTGTGCCTTTATTTACACAAGCATATGTCTTAAATGTACTTTTAACCTTTGGACAACCAAAGAGATACATACCTTAAAGCATTGTTGCCTGTTATCAATTTTGATGTTACAATCTAAATCCTTAACAAAATTCACATAAATTTTCATAATGAAACACTGCAGAAATGGAAAAGTTTATATTCACTAGGCAAAGGTTACCTTATTTTTTACTTGTTTAAAGTTTCAGTTTTGCTTTTTAATCTATTACAGAAAACATCCCTTGTGGGACATTGTAAAGGGCATACCCTCCTGTCAAGCCAGAAAGCTAAAACACAAAGACACTGAGCTAACCAAGTGCTGTAATTCTTCCAAACTGAGCCTCTGCACACCCCCTCCACCCTTCCCCCCAACAGATATGTCTATTAAACCAGTGTCTGTTCTCCCCCTCGCACAACAAAGAGAACTTCTCACCGCATGAAATTGCCGCTGAATGGACACCAGAAAGCAGGATTTGCATAATTCCTTCCAACGAAACCCTGTCGGGAAGGAGGGGATGAGGGGCCCAAGCGAACGGATAGAATCTCCTAGATTCTGCTGGGGACGATCTGGTTCCCAAGAATATTCCCCACGGGGGTGGGGGAGAAGGGGCTGGAATTCTGTGCCTCCCCAAGGACTGCGCCTGGGGGACGGCAGGAGGACGAGAGCGCATTTCCCCACACATCAGCAGCACCGAAGCAAAGATGGGGAAATAACAATGCTGGAGGATAGGAGAGTCAGACACAAGGATGGACTGGGACTAGGGGGCGGCAGGCGGAGCGGAGACACCACACGGGCCACTTACTTTTTGGAGGGGGGTTAAATATATGAGTTAAGCCCTTATGGTCCCGCCGGCCGCCGCACAGAGGGAAACGGGACCTTGGGAGAGAAAAACAGACAAAACACACAGTGTGAGAGGCACAGCTCGGCCGCCCGGCCCCTCCCGGGGCGCCCCCGTCCACACTCCCATCTGCCCGCGGGGAAAAAGCCACCCAAGGTGGCCAAGGTCCGGGAGGCGGGAGGGCGGACGAAGCTCTCGGCAAGGCGGCGGCTCCGGCAAATCCCCAGGGAGGGGACAAGAGCGACCCCCATTCCAGCCTGTCTGTCGGACCCGGTGCCACCCCCTCTTCCTCCCCGCCGCGCACACACCGAACACAAATACACACACACCGACCCGAGCGTCGAGGATTAACTCCCCGGCCGCCGCTGCCACTGCCGCACGCAGAGGAAGTGCAGCCGCTGCCCCCCGCGGCCATGACACCCTACTTGGCTCGGTCAGGCGGACCCGGGGCCTGTGACAGCTCCGGCTCCCTCCGCCCCCATCTCCACCTCACGCCTCGCACACGCCCGAGAGCCGGGCGCCCGCCCGTCCGCCCGCCACCGCGCGTGCACGCGGGGACTAGGGGGAGCGCCGCCGTCACGCGTGGGGGGAGGGACAGCGGGGCCCGGGGACAGCGCCGGCGAGAGCGGAGAAGGGGACTGAGCCCCGGCCCAGCACGCTCCCCGCTCCCGCGCTAAGCTCCGCGTCACCGCCTGCGGCGCTGCGGGCTAGTGGCAGCTCTGTGGGGCGAGGGTCCACAATAAGCCGGCGGCTGCGCCTAGCCGCCGGGCGGGGAAGGGGAAGGGGAAGGGAGGCGGAGAGGAGGGGCCGCGCGCCCGCCCGCGAACCCGCCCCGGAGAGGGCGCGCGGAGGGGAGGGGCCGGCGCGCGCGCTCAGGACGGATGAGTGGAGAGCCCGCCCGCAGGTCGCGCGCGCTCGCACTCCGGGGGGTGGGGGAGGGGACGCCCGAGCCAAAGAGGGCGGGCGGGCCGGAGGAGCAATTGCCTCTGCGCCGGCTCCCTCCCTCGTCCGGGGCGGCCGGCTGCTGGGCGGCCTGAGGCCTGGAGGCGGCCGGGGGAGGGTCTCACCTACACAGTGAATAAGCTTGTGGCGCCACGAGTCCAGTTCTTGCCGAAAGCCGCGTCTCTCAACGGAGCATTGCTGCCGCCTGCACACCCTCGCCATCTTCTGCCGCCCGCCGGGCCCTGCCTCCGCCGCGGCCCCGCGCACGCCCAGCCGCGTCGCCCGGGGCCGCGCACGCACCCGCGGCCTGGGCGTCGCACCTCCCGCCGGGGGCGGTGCGGGGACAGAGCCGGCCTCACCTCGCGGTGGCCCCGGCTTGGGCCCGGAGGCGGCGTGAGCGCGCGCCCGCTCCACACACCGCGCTTGGCTGCCCGCCGGGCTGCTGTTCCCATGGTCCGTGGTCGCAGCCGGCGCCGCCGCCCCTGGCCGCCCAGGAAGGCGCCTTCCCAGGGCCAGAGCTAAGCCCCGTGGGCCCCGAGCCGCCTCCGCACTGTCCCCCAAGGCCACGGCTGTCCCTTCCTTTCCCTTCCCGGGACTTTTGTTTCTTAAGCCAGCCCCATCTATCACTTGCAACCAACCTGTCTCTCGCCCGGCACCAACTGTTGCAAGTTCCGTAGTAACTGCTTCACTTACTTCGTCGAAAGTGCTCCTCCAGGAAACCTGTTTTAAGAGGCAGAATTAAGAATAAATGCATGGATGCCCGAGAAGGCACTGAGTCCTAAAATTTTCAAAGGTGGAGAACATACATTTTATTAGGCCATTGCAAGGTAGCCAACACTCGTAAATCCAATGAAAATTGAAATCAAGCATTTTAAATTAAATAAAAAACTAGGATGTTTGTTCAAGCAAGGCTGCTCATATGCGAAATTCTCAAATTGGCGTATTTGAGAACCCCTGTGTTGTGTGCAAAGGGGTTTAAGAAAATTGTGCTGAAGTGAGAATAGTATTTCAAAAGAAGGCTCAGTTAACCATACTTAAAGTAAAGCAAAGTGTGGAAAATGACTTAATTTGTGTATTAGGGAAAGACTAAGAGAAATATTTTCGAAGACGAAAAGGATTTTCAGGTGAAAACCTGGAATAATTAGATCACCCTGCGTCGGACATTGTGTCATTTAAACATAATCCTGATCTTAATTACCTGACTGTTAGCATGGAGGAGAAAGAAAAGAGGGAATAAAGTTAGAAGGAAAGAAGCACGGGGAAAGGAAAACTGGAGGTGGGAAAGGGGCACAATACAAAAATCAAAAGAGAAAACGAAAATAGGTCCCTCTTTACGAATAGGCCCAGTACCCTAGGATTCTGGCCTCTTCCCCACCTTTGGGGTAAAGATTAAGGACGGTGCATTCCTTCTTTTAGATATTTAAATTTTATATTTGAATACTTAATTTTAATTACTATAGTGGGCAAAAAAGGCGTTAAATACTTGACGTCAAGGATCCAATTGGTGTATTATATCTTTTCAACGATAGTGGTCCTAGTTCTCTAACCAGGCACTTGCGGAATTGCGCGTCTGTCCTTAAAGAGATGGGCTGGATGGGTCTCTTGGGTAAGAGTGGTGTGAGTTCTAAGAACAGAAAGACACCTCTGGCTTCCCAAATCTTAAAACGATTTTTCCCCAATTCTCAAAAGACTATGATATTTCATTGACTTAAGAGTTCACTTGACAGTTCAAGTGAACAAGCTATTAGGTCAGAAGTATTGATTGTCTGTGCACATAAGATTATCCTGAGTGGTGCAGGGAAAGGACAAATAAGAGAGAAAAGATTGCAATGGACAGCCGTCCTGCACAGGTGATGATGGCAGGACATCTTTTATTCTCAACCTGAAACTTACTTTCTTGACCACTAGGTGGTAGGCTTGAGTCTTTTGTAGCTTCTAACCAACTTTTTATGATTTCTGGAGGAAGTATGTTTCATGATTTTAAGTAAATGAACAACATGTAACTCTAAAATGAGTTAATATTTTCCAATTACCCCATATGATGTGTTTAAAAATAATAAAACCAACCTCCTCAACATAATCTCTTAAATAAGAGTCTCAGATACATATAGATTAAGAGATTCCTAGAGACTTCAGGAATCAACTCTGAGGTATGGATTATCTAATTGTGGTATGGAATTGGAGGCCCACGAAAGTGACTTGACCAAGGGTGCATAGCTGCTAAGAAGGGGGCCAACAAGAGCCTACATCCCAATTCAATGCCATTTCCACTATCCCACTTTGAATTGCAATTACTGCTTCAGTTTTTAAGTTGGCAACAAACATATAGTTGACCACTCCTGATGGTTTGGGAAAAATGTGGAGGGGACAATAGTAATAACTATCATTTATTGAGGATCTACCATATGTTAGCATTGAAACTTTATTTCATTCTATCCAAATAACAGTGCCATAAGGCAGGTATTATTTTCACCTACTTTTTACATTTTCCAGATCACAGAGTCAAGTTAAGTGCCTTTGTCCAAAGTCACAAAGCTACCAAACATCAGAACCAGAATTCTAAGATCTCTCTACTCCAAAACCCTCTAAATCGTCCTGCAAGTAGATATGGGACTCTGCATGTAGAGTATTAATTTAAGTTAATTCCATGTGGGAGGTGATGTTTCATTGCACAGATGAGCAGTTTGACAAACATTAAGAACTCCTGTCATATATCAATGTCCTAGGTACTTAGGACACATAGATATCTAAGACATAATTTCTGATTATGTTAGCCCTTTTAGTTACCCTGGAAAAGGGCTATAGCTGCAAACTCTGATTATGTTAGCCCTTTTAGGTACCCTGGAAAAGGGCTTAGCTGCAAGCTCTTTCCCATTCTCAAGTGGGTCAAACAATGTAACACAGTGGTTAAGAGAACACAATCTGAAGACAAAGAGCTTGATTAGTATCCTGGCTCTACCCTTTAGTACCTGTGTGACCTTGACAAATGAACTATTCTGGTCATCTTCATGGAGAAAAGAAGGTAATAGTCTGCAAGATGGAGTTTGTATGAAGATGAAGAATCATGTGCAGTGGCTGGTGCATCATTAGCATGAAATGATGATTAGGCCTTCCTAAGCTCCCATCTACTAGTCCAGTCCACAGGGTGACAGGAAACCAAGATGCTTGTGCAATTTTCAGACAATCTGTGATGCAATGACTTTGGTCTTTGAAAACAGCATTCCCTGAGTCATGTTCTATAGTTCTCACAATGGGCATATCCCTGGAGAAATGGAGCACATAAAAGGACTATCACAGAATGGGGGTAGATGCTACAAACTCTAGGACTGGTTGGTCAGTATTATATCAACCTTGTGTCTGATTAGTTGGAGGTGGCTTCAAATAAGGAAATGACTTCAGGTAAATGGGAAGATGAGATGGATCAGAGCCCTCTAATAAAGAAAAAGCATCCTGATGAGAGACTTTAAAATATATTGCCAATTTTTAATGAATTCCAATAAGTGATAGACACTTTTTAAAGCACTTTTCATGGATTATGTCATTTTCCTCACAACAACCCAACCAATTATCCCCATTTCATAGCAGGGCACAGAGAGGTTCAGCAATTTACCCAACATTACACATGTTATAGTGAATTTGGATTCAAATCCAGGCAGTTTGGCTACAGGACCAGTACTTTAATGGGATCTAGAGTGAGAGGCAAGACCTACACAGACAGAAGGGAAGTCCTCTCACTTGGTGGAACAACTCAAGCAGTGGCTGATCCTGCTTAGCAAAAGACTTTCAAACTTCTTTTCTTGCCTGTCTGCCTGTGTGCCACTGGCCTAGAAATCTTTATGACTTTATGTTGTGTCTCTGTATGTGAAACTTATTTTTCTTTTAATGTTTTGTTGATGCATATTTCAAGTACTATAATATTCACCCATTTATGGAGCAGCATGGGAGCAGCCAAGTCCTCAGCAGCTGCCCAGAATCTCCTCCCAGTGTGCAGCTGCCCAGAAGCAGCTAAAGAAACTGGGGCAAGGCACGAAGGGGCATTGCTCTTACAGGAGAGCACACACAGTGAGCCTGCCACTACCCGCAGGGCTCTGGGCTACCCTGACGGCAACCCAGCCGACGGCAGTTTAGGGGATTAATGCAGAAGCTGCACCAGGTGTGCAGGTAACCAACACAGACAGTGGAGAAGGTCAAGGTGACCAGCAAGCCGGAAGGGACACTGTTCTCCCATCTGACCACGAGCCACCTGCCTACAACTATCACTATTGCCGTGAAAAGGCAGAAGAATTTGGTTCAGTCCAGAATCACCAAGATAACCCCTGAGAGATGACCTGGGGAGATAGATTTAACCAATCATCCTGAAAAACAATTCAAAATAAAGGTCATAACCATGTTGATGAACCTGCAGAGATATATGCAAGAGCTAAAGGACCAAGTAGGGAGGGAGAATAAAATAATCTCTGGAAGGACTTACAAGCAGACTGGATGACGTGCAAGAGGCTGTTAATGGAATACAAATCTCAGAACAGGAATACAGAGAAGCTAAGGCAGAGAGAGATAAAAGGATTTCCAGGAATGAAAGAATATAAAGAGAACTGTGTGACCAATCCAAACAGAACAATATTTGCATTATAGAAGTAACAGAAGAAGAAGAGAGAGAAAAAGGGATAGAAAGTGTTGTTGAAGAAATAATTGCTGAAAATTTCCCCAAACTGGGGGAGGAAATAGTCTCTCAGACCATGGAAGGCCACAGAACACCCAACACAAGGGACCCAAGGAGGACAACACTAAGACATAAATAATTAAAATGGCAAAGATCAAAGACAAAGACAGAGTATTAAAAGCAGCCAGAGAGAGAGAAAAAAGGTCACCTACAAAGGACAACC